AGAAGCACTGGTAATAATGGAAATGCTATCATTGAAGATGCTGTCCTATTTCAAAGATTTATTATGCTGTATTTTCATATATGTATTCACAGCACTATAATTGCTGTAATACTTTATTTATTGTAATTCTTATCCTTACACTTACAGTTAGCATTCCACTGTCAGTTCTTTGAAAATGTGCTGCGGCAGTTAGTGGTTATAAAAACAGAATTATTGAAAGAATAAAATTAAGTGGCAAAATCAGAATATATTTTTGCTTTTGAGTTGATGAAAGTTTATAGAACTGAAATGTGAACCTTGTCTCTCACCGTATATCTGTTTGACTTATTGAGTTCTCCAGTATTTTCTGTTTTTATTCCAATTTTCCAGCAACGAAATAATTCTGTGTTCATTATTTATTTAACTGTTTTGCACTTTAATAAAATCCACACATTGCCAGTATAACAGTGGATTTATTAATGATTATTGCACAGCATTTAAATGATTTATGGAGTAGAAAATCAATAACAAAGTACAGTAGGTATTGTTTGAAGTTAATAGAATGTTAACAATATTTTGCTGTTTTGCACTTTAATAAAATCCACACATTGCCAGTATAACAATGGATTTATTAATGATTATTGCACAGCATTTAAATGATTTATGGAGTAGAAAATCAATAACAAAGTACAGTAGGTATTGTTTGAAGTTAATAGAATGTTAACAATATTTTGCTGAGAAATGATGTAAACACAGATTTTCATAAAACATTTAATTTTTTCTTGCAAGCACCTTGAATTCATTTCCATGCTTCTGACAGAAGAACAAGCTTCTGCCAGTCCTGACAGGTAATGTACCAAAATTCAACAGAAAAGCTGCACTTAAATGATTACATTTGATGTTTTGTCCATGCATATCCTCTCTGCTGCAACTAAGTTACCTCCTCAAATTACATGCATGACCAGCAGTGACACAAGTGACAGTAACAGATGTGATTTCCACCCTAGTGTGGCATAGGTTAAAATGTTTTCCAGTAAGAGCTCCAGTGTTGATGGAAAGAAAGGCTATAATTGTGCTACTATTTTCCCCTCCTCAATTTAAGTAAATGTAATTGAGTAACATTCTTTAATGGCTGGAAAATTATGGAAAATGCATGCTTAAGTTCCTCAAATGTGCTCTCAGTAGAGGAAGCTGTCAATTAGGAAAGCAATTTTATAACAGCATTTTTTCAAACAGAAAATTTAGTGACCACTGCTCAGTACATTGAATGCATGGATTATTGTGCACTGTATGAATATTGCATAGCAGGCTTATAGAAATTCTTGATAAGCTGGTATCACGGTAATATCAGTACATCAAATACACGAGTAAATAGGTTCTAAAAGTCTTCTTTTTTCTCTTTAATTTTAAAGTAGTAAAACTAATGAGGCTTAACAATTTTTCACCAGCGGGCAAAATATACTAAACTCTAATGTGCTGGCCAGCAGCATATTCTTAAGTAAGATGAGCTGAGTTGTTTATAAAAGGAGCACCATCATTCAATAGCACCATGTTGCACCTAGTGACAGTAACAGCTTTTTCTGCGAACAAGTACGGACAACCAGTGATAATCATTTTTAAGCGATGGTGAGTCAAGAGGTAATTTATTGTGGTGAGGCTTTCAGCATTCTCTGCTGATAGGCAGACACTGTTCATAAAATTTAAGGGACACTTATGAAGTATTCTATTCTAATTGTTTCCTAATATGCTTTTTCCTTTGCCAATTTTCTCCATGTCACTTTTGAAAACTCACGCTCCAGTATTGCTCCTGAGGCATCTCTAAGAACCCCGTATCCAAATGAGTATTCTTCAAGATAGCAAGTGTCCTTAGGCAGAAACAAAGTCACTTTTAGGATGCAGTTGGATGGTGGAAGGCTGATTTTTTTTTTCTCTCTTCCACTAACCCAAGGTCTAATTGAAGGATTCCATCCACTGCTTCAGTTAGGCACACAAATTAATTCCCTTGATTCCCCAACACACACACAAAAAATCGAAAAGCTACTGAAATAGGAACAGCTAAAACTGCACAATATCCCATATATAATAAACATTGAAAACATAATTGGCCTTTTTAACAAAATGGAAAATTACAAAATTGCCAATTATAATTTAATGATGCACCATCGTATGAACGCAACAGTTTAGCTGGTCACCCATGGTCATTTTCTCAATAAAGCCAATATGCTACAGCATTCACATTGTCCCATTGGGATCACTGCATGTTGACACAGTAAATGTTGTGTTGTCACTATGTTTCTCAGCCTTTTTGTGTCCTTTTACAATGCCTGTGACACTTGATTGCAGTGACTCCTGAGTGAAGAGATGGTAGGAATATCACTGGATATGGTAACATAGTAGGCCCAGGCTAGTTGTTTGGGCAAACAAACAGGAGGCTGGAAGAACAAAGCAAGCCAGGCAGCATCTGGAGGAAAGGAGCAGTCAATGTTTCGCATATTACCCTTCTTCAGGCTCACACTGCTCATCATTTCCTCCAGATGCTGCCTGACTTGCTATGGTTTTCCATCCTCCTGTTTGTCTATCTTGGGTTCCAGCATCTGCAGTTTCTATTTTTTTGTCTCTAGTTATTTGGGCACATGGGTTCAGATCCCATGGCAGCAGCTATTGGAATTTGAATTCAAACAATGAACCTGAAATTGAAAGCAAATTGTATTGATTGTGGCCATGCATTGTCATTGTAAGAAGGTATCAATGGAAAGATTTTCTAGCGAGGTCAAATCAGTTCCCATTTTTAAACTTAGATTTGTTACCATGGACATTAGAGGGGGAAAGACTTCAGAGAGAGTGCTTCTGAACTCCAATAATAGTCAAGGAAAATGATTATATCTATTCATCTACACTACTTAACTGTAATCTGCTGCCTTCTGAGAATAATGTGCTATAAGTAGCTACTCGTATGAACCAGTTACTGCAATGCTGAAGGGTATTCTTAAAATCTGTTCTCCATTAAGTGACTATCCCCCATGAAAATAACTATCAAATGTAAAAGTTGCAAAGTTCTCCTTCCAGCAGGCAGCCCTGATAAAATGTCTGCAATGACGCTTGTCTGATTATCCAATCTGACTTGGTGCTGCGGCTTTTATAGGAAGGATCAGGACTATCAGCAACATTACCAGCTGGTGTTGTAAAAACCCAAGAAGGCAGAAGTTACCTCTACGATTCTGGCTATACCATCTACACATAAAACTGTCTTTTTATCATGAATGTGCAAATGAAATTAAGAATAAAACAAAGAAAAACATAAGCACCAACACCTCCATCCTGAATGAGGATATGGAGAAAAAGATTATTTATGCAGCCCATCTTCAGAGTGAGACTCTGTGAATTCACTGGCAGAAGGTAGCATTGTAAGATTCTACCTGAAAGATCTATATGAGTTTCTCTATTGATAATATTGCTGAGCAATTATTGATCAGGCAGCCCATGAAATCAGCACAATCTGTATAGCACCACTCTGATGACTCAACAAGAAGAAATGCACGTTATACTCCTCTAATATTAAAATACACTCGTAAACCTCTTCTTCTCCCTATGTGCAACTAGATATTAAGTCACTGCAGTTCAAAGCAGTTAAATACATACAGGAAACTGGATTTTACCCTCCTCAGCTGGCAGGTTTGAACACTGGTGAGAACTCAAAATCCATTGAGTGGCTGATCCATTACCTACCCTCCTGCCCCTGAGCTTTGTGACATTTTACAGGAGGCCAGGAGTGTGTCAGGCTGCCTCCTTGATGCCAGCTCTATCACCTGTCGCACAGAGAGGCCAATGCCATGTACCGGAGCGAGCTGATGTTAAGCCTGCAATTAAACTGTTGCAGGCTTGAGCAGCAGATACAAAATGGTGAAAGGATATTTAGAGTTAAAGCTGGCCTACACCTTGTTGTACAACTGAGTTGTATGGTGGCTGCAGCAGCTGCTGGAAGTTTGTCAGAAAACAATTCTGATGTGGTAACACTCAATAATGGCCTGGGTTTCAGGATTTTCTGACACTGTACTGGAGACCTTAGTGTATGATATGGACTTACAACACAAGTGTAGGCCACAGATACGATGTTGGATATTTAACGCCAAACCTAGTGTCATAATCATAATGCAACCAAAGTTTGCTACTAAAGCCTTTATAATGTAAATAAAATTCATGTCTTTCCACAAACGACCATGCCTTGTAATGTGTGGAAGCAGCAATTTTCATACTTAGTAAATTTGGCAATCTAAATACATTAAACAGCAAAGCAAACCAAAGCATTTAGATAGTGATTCTGCTCCCTATTCCTGACTTTGCAGGATTAAACCCAGAGGAAAAAAAATAGACTTTCAAATTTACATTGTATCTTATTTAAGTGCAACTGCTGGAGAAGTGTTTCTGGAGGAAATGCTACAACTGCCAAATGTCTAAGTGTTAATATGGCGACTCTGAGGGGATGTGTAATGGATCTTTGCTGTGAGAATGAAGTGAATTGCAGATAAAAGGACAGTAACTGCATTAAAGTTATTGAAGGAAGGCTCTGTTTTGCAAAATGAAGGTGATCTGGGAAATTGTACTCATATATAATGTGGGGTACATCAATACTTAGTTTCCAGTGCCATAGTATTTAATGGTAAAGAGTAAAACCTACTGAATGGAAAAGATGGCTTTCCCTTATGCTGGCATTTTTGTAATTATCCCCAGCAGGTGCTGAGGTAAAAAAAAGTGTAGTTTTGTTTAATGAAAACTAAGCTTGCAAAGATCAAAGAACTGACTAAATCGGAAAACCAATGTGCATTCAGTCCATTTATCCGAAGAGACTTGGCAACTCTGTCTGTATGAGTAACTATTTCCTTTGTCAAACAAGCAATGACTTGCTGCATTGATCAATATAGGTTTAAACAGCACCTTACTGAAGGAAGCAGACTCATTCAAAAGCTTGCTTAAAGGGATGCAGTTCGAGTTTGTCAAAGTACAAAAGCAAATTCCAATCTGTTTCATGAATCTGAAGTGATTCCTTTGCTCAACCTTTGCTCTACTGCTCTTCTCATTGTCAGGCAAGTGTAACAACATTGGATCCTAATTGTTGCCATTGAACATCGACCCAATTTCTTCAAGGTGAGGCAAAATTTTTTTGACATTCTGTCCCTAATGCAGATGTTATCTGAAAAAGAAAATGGTTTGTACTGTTAGGCAAAAAATATCACATCAAGTACTTCCCACCCCACCTAAGTCTGTTCACATCAATAGGGTTAATACTCAGCCACTGCCTCTTTCGTTGACAAGCACAGTTGCTATGAATACTGACTGTAACACTTGCTCTCAGGCTTGTTACAAAATGCTAAACCAGAAAGGGAATGAGAAACTGTGTCTGATTCCTGAAAAAATCAGTTCATCACTGAAATGATATGACTCATATCACCGTGACTATTTGCAGCACTGATGCATTTTAAAATGAAACGACTAAATGATCAGTAATTCTATTAGTTCTGGTCTGTGAGCTGGCCTTTTAGTAGGATGTGAATTTCTGTTGTTAGAATAAGTGGAGTGAACAGATAATCATTAGTATTAGGTTGCTTTTAAATTTTTGTTGCAATTCAGCCCCACACTCCTATTCTATTGGACTCTGTGTGTGTGGAAGGCCCTAAGACCATAAGACATCAGAGCAGAATTAGCCCACTCATCCCATTGAGTCTGCGCTGCCGTTAGTCATGGCTGATATGTTTCTCGATCCCATTCTCCTGCCTTCTCCCTGTAATCCTTGATCCCGTTACCAATCAAGAACCTACCAATCTAGGTCTAAAATACACCCAATGATTTGGTCTCTACAGTCCTCTGCAGCAATGAGTTCCACAGATTCACCATCCTCTGCCTGAAGAGATTCTTCCTTGTCACGGTTCTATAGGGCCATCCCTTCATGCTGAGGCTGTGCCCTCAGGTACTCGTTCTCCTATTCATGCAAAAATCTTCTCCATGTCCACTCGATCCAGTCCTCTCAGTATTCTATAAGTTTCTATCAGATGCCCCCTCATCCTTCTAAACTCCATCAAATACAGTCCTCAACTGCTCCTCATGTGCCAAGCCCTTCATCCCCAGGAGCATTCTTGTAAACCTCCTCTAGGTCCTCTCCAACACCGACACATTCTTTCTGAGATAAGAACAACACAATGTTCCAAATGCAATCTAACCACGCCCCCATACAGCCTCAGCAGAACATCTCTGCTCTTGTATTCCAGGCCTATCGAAATGAATGTCAACACTGCATTTGCTTTCCCAACTGCCAACTGAATCTGCATATTAACCTTAAGAGAATCCTGAACTAGCACTCTCAAGTCCCTTTGTGCTTCAGATTTTTGAAGCCTTTGCCCATTTAGAAAATAGTCCATACCTCTATTCTTCCCAAAGTGCATAAGCTCACACTTTCCCACACAGTGTTCCATCTGCCATTTCTTTGCCCACTCACCTAGCCTTCCCATTTCCTCTACACTATCTGTCCCTCCACCTCACTTAATGTCATCTGCAACCTTTGCAACAATGCCTCAGTTCCTTCATCCAGATCGTTAATGTATGTGGAAAGTTGTGGTCCTAACATAGACCACTGTGGAACAATACTAGTCACCAGCTGCCATCCTAAAAAAGACCCCTTTATCCAGACTCTCTGCCTTCTGTCAGCCAGCCAGCCAGCCAATCTTCTATCCATGCCAGTACGTTGTCCCTAATGTCATGTGCTCTTATCTTATTTAGCAGCCTCCTGTGCAGCACCTAGTCAGAGGCCTTCTGGAAATCCAAGTAGATCATGTCCTCTGGCTCTCCTTTGGCCAACTTGCTTGTAACTTCCTCCAAGAATTCCAACAGATTTGTCCGGCATGATCTCCCCTTGAAGAAGCCATACTGACTCAGCCCGGTTTTACCATGGACTTCCAAGTACTCCACAATCTATTCCTTAATAATGGACTCTAATCTTAACAACAACTGAGGTCAGGTTACCAGCCTATAACTTCCTGTTATCTACCTCCCTTCCTCCCTCTCTTGAACAGGGATTTTGCATTAGCCATTTTCTAGTCCTCTGGGACCTTCCTGATCCTAGTAATTCCTAAAAAATCACCACTAATGTCTCTCCAATCTCCTCGGCTATCTCCTTCAGAACTCTGGTGAGTAGTCCATCTGGTCTAGGTAACTTAACTACCTTCAGACTTTTCAGCTTCCTAAGCATCTTCTCCTCAGTGATGGCCACTACACTCACCCCTACCCCCCCCACCGACTCTCTTGAAGTTCTGACATGCTGCTGGTGTCTTCCACTGTGAAAACTGATACATAGTACCTATTCAGTTCCTCTGCCACTTCTTTGCTCCCCATTACTACTTCTCCAGCCTCATTTTTGAGCGGTCTAATATCCGCTTTTGGCTTTCTCTTACCTTTCAGATGTTAAGAAAAAAATTCTTGCAATCTTCTTTATATTACTAGCTAGCTTACACTCCTATTTCATTCACCTGCCCACCCACCCTCCACTAACTATTGCTTTTTTAGTTATCGTCTGCTCTATTTTAAAGGTTTCCCAATTCTCTGGCTTCCCACTAATCTTCACCACATTGTATGCTTTCTCTTTTACTTTTATGCTATCCCTGACCTCCCTTGTCAATCATGGTTGCCTCATCCTTCCTTTAATATGTTTCTTCTTCCTTAGGCAGCATGGTGACTGTGTGGAGTTTGCACATTCTCCCTATGTCTGCATGGGTTTCCGCCGGGTGCTCTGTTTCCTCCCACAGTCCAAAGATGTGCAGGTTAGGTGGATTGGCTGTGTTAAATTGCCCGTAGTGTTCAGGGATGTGTAGGCTAGGTGCATTAGCCATGGGAAATGCAGGGTTACAGGGATAGGTTAAGGGGATGGGTCTGGGTGGGATGCTCTTGGGAGGGTTAGTGTGGACTGTTGGGCTGAATGGCCTGTTTCCACTCTTTAGGGATTCTAAGGAATTTCTGTTGTGCCTCCTGAATTACCCCAGAAACTCCTGCCATTGCTGCTCCACCATCTTCGCTCAAAGGCTCCCCTTCCAATCAGCTCTGGCCATTTCCTCCATCATGTCTTTGCAGTTACCTTTACTCAATTGTAATACTGTTACGTCTGATTCAATCTTCTTCTTCTTAAAATGCTGGGTAAATTCTATCTATTTAAAGTCACTGCTGTCTGGGAATTTTATACTCCCTATCAAGTCTACCTCATTACACATCACCAAATCCAGAATTGCCTGTTCCCTCATGGACTCTACCACAGCTGCTCTAAAACAAAAAAAAATCTCATAGATGTTCCACAAATTCTTTTTCTGGAGGTCTGCTACAAGCCTGATTTTCCCAGTCCCTATGCAGATTGAAGTCCCCCATGATTACTGTAATAGTGCCTTTCTGTCATCTGATTTATTTTCTTCCCCTCATCCCGACTGTTGCTAGAGGGTCTGTACACAACACCCTCAGTGTCGTTCTTCCTTTGTGGTTCCTCAACTCTACCCACACAGATTCTATGCCTTTCAACTATATATAACTTCTTCCTATCAATTTTATTTCATTTCTTACTAACAAGGCAATTCTGCCCCCGTGCCCATCTGCCCGCCCTTTCAATACGATATCTTTGTATGTTTAGTTCCTAGGCCTGATCCCTCAGCAGCCACATCTGTGATACACACAACATCATACCTGCCAACTTTAATCTGTACTACAAGCTCATATACCTTGTTTTGTATATTGTGTGCATTTAAGTACAACACCTTCAGTCCTGCATTGACTGCCCTCCTTCTCGTAGTTGTTCCCCTATCTGCAGTGCCTGAAGTTAGATTCCTGACTGTTTTCACACTGTTATATTACTTGTCCTAGAAACTTTAATAATCTCTGCTGAGCCCTCCCCACATTATTTTCCATGCGACTGACCCTCTCTATTTAGTTCAAATCCCTACTCACAGCCCTAGTTATGTGATTCGCAAGGACTCTGGTCCCAGCATCATTCAGCTCAGGTGGAGCCCAGCCCATCAGAACAGTTCCCTCCTTCCCCAGTACTGGTGCCAATGTCCCATGATTTCAAACCAGTTTCTCCCACAATGATATTTGAGCCTTTGATATTGTTCACCCTTTGCCAAAATGATCGTGGCATAGGTAGTAATCCAGAGAATTTCCCTTATTGTTTCTGCATTTTAATTTAGCCCCTAGCTACTCATATTCCCTCAGCAGAATCTCCCTCCTCTTTCTACATATATCATTGGCACCCGCAACTGGACCACAACAACTGGATCTTTTCCCTCCCATTCCAAGTTCCTCCGCAACCAGAGGAGATATCCTGAATGGGGAGTGTATCGTAAGGGCAACACGGTGGCTCAGTGGTTAGTACTGCCATCTCACAGAGCTAGGGACCCAGGTTCGATTCCAGCCTCGGATGGCTGTCTGTGTGGAGTTTGCACATTCTGAGTGGGTTTGCTCTGGTTTCCTCCCACAGTCCAAACATGTATAGGTTAGGTGGATTGGTCATGCTAAATTGCCCCATAGTGTTCAGGAATGTGCAAGCTTGGCGGATTAGCCATGGGAAAATGTGGGGTTAAAGGGATAGGGTGGAGGGTTTGAGTCTGGGTGGGATGCTCTTCAGAGGGTTAATGCAGACTCAATGAGCCTTCCTCCTGCATTGTAGGGATTCTACGAACCTGGACACCAGGCAGGCAACAAAGACTTTGGAGCTCTCAATCCTGACCACAGAGGACAGTGTCTATTCCCCTGATTACAACTACATTTCTCTTTTCTCCCCCGCCTCCTCTTGAACAGCTCCCTCTACCAGTGCTATCATCAGTTTGCTCATCCTGCTTGCAGCCCCCACTCTCGTCAACGCAGGTTTGAGATTCTTCCTCCCTGTTGGCTAAGCTCAAGGGCTGAAGCTCATTCAGCTGTACCTTCTGGATCCCCCTACCTACCACATTTGAAGTCACATCCTCCAGTCCCTGACTACTGACCGAGTTGGAAGTAGTTAATCTAAGGGATGTGACTGCCTCCTGAAGCACAGCATCTAGGTAACTCTCCCCCTCCCTGATGTGTCGCGTTGTTCAAAGCTCAGACTCCAGCTCATCAACTCTGAGCCACCAGTTCCTTTAGCAACTAACACTTGATGTACAGATGTGGTCACTGTGAACCACAGTG